CGGTCAATTGTACCTATTGCACACAAGACACTTCAATTTGATTGGTCATTCTCGCGCTACTTCCTTTGCATTCTTTATCTCCAAAGGCTTTCACTGGGTTGAAATCTTCTCTTGAATGTCTTGCACGAAAACCCCTAAATTTATCAATGATCTTGGAGGACAAACCTGCGGTTTTCCGGATGAAACCCCCTGTAAATCTCAACCTAATATTCTCGGCTACACAATAACCTAATTGGACGTTATCAAACCTCTCCTAGATGGCACCCCGAAAAAAGATGATCATATGTGATTTATCAGTGTGTATGCATAGGTTGGAGGTTGAAGGTAAAGAGAAAATGCAGTATATGTTTATAGTTTCATCAAGTTGGAATAATGTATAAATTATGTATTTATAGTTGTGGAAGTTTAGATGCTAAGAGGTGATTTTCGGAATTAAAAAGAATTGACTCAATCAAACAGTATGAGTCGGCCTAAAAAAATCATATGTGCCAACACATAATTCAAAACTTAACTGTATGCGCCGACCTAAAAAATAGGTGTGTCAGCCTAAGCATGGCAGTATTATTTTTCTTTAAAGTTGCAGTACATGTGTCGACCTAAAAATTGTATGTATCGGCACATAAAATAAGAAAAACTGAAAAATACTTAAAGTTTCAGTATGTGTCGGTCTGTAATAATGCATGTGTCGACCTAAGACCTCTAGAGGCTACAAGCATCAAAACTAAATTGCATGTGTCGTCCTGAAACATGTATGTGCCGACACATGCAAGAAGAATTTATGCTAAAACTTGGTTTTCAAGACTTTGGTCAATTTCAAAATGGTTTTTAACGATTCCTAGGACATCTAATAGAAGAGAGTTCCACAAAACATAGAGATACCGTCCAATATACATAAATGCTAAGTTTTCCTAGTTTTGACATCATGTAAAACATCTAATAGTGAAGTTGTACTCACACAAACAACACCAAAAAAATTCTAGCTTTATTACAAAAGTTGGTCATATCACACAATGCAAAATTAAGACTATGACAACCACAAGAAGTATAAAAAACTCTCAAATTTATGTTTAAAAATCTATTTTGGACACGTTGTTGCTTTTCTTAATTTCATATTTGACCCATTATCATAACCTTGTTCTCTCACATCAAATAGGTCAAGACCAAACTCTTTTCATTCATTTTGAGAAACATTAAAAAGCCCTTAACCAGTTGTATCATTCACATTCAAAGATCCTAAAAATTATTTCTCGATGCAACCAGAAATTGAAGAAATATCCACATATCTTATCATCAAATACAATTGATTTTGGTGACTAACATCAAGAGTACAAACAAGTATCCCGATAAATACTTTGTTTGTTTGATTTTTCTAATGATTTCAATTTTGATTACAGAACCGAGTAACGAAATCAACTCATTTTATATTTTATGTCCATGATAATGAACGTGGACTTTAGCTGTAACACGTCTAACATGTTCTAGGATAATTGATTCAAATTCAACTAACATTTCAATCAAATTCAAAAAGTTTTCATTGCTATCTTCGTACAATTTCTCCTTAGAACCACAAAATGATAAATTATATTTAGCAAGAAATTTCACTACTGAAATAACTCTTTTTAAAATATTTTTTCAATGATCTTTTTTATTTTTCAATTAATCTTTGAATCGTTTTATCGATAGTTTGATAAATCCATCCATAAATGAATCCTCAGTTCAAATTAACACTTTTTAATTTCCAAATTATCTAAATGAGGATATTCTCAAATTAATTCACCAAACAAATTCAACATACATTCAAATATAAAACAAACATAAAACTAGGATTTTAAATCATTTATGTAAACATAATAAGAGATTATAACATAATCGTCCAAGACTTCCCCAAATAACAATACAAACTGGAATATTAATTTTATGTCTATTGGTAGAAGAGTAATACACTACTAATACATTATTCAACAAACAAGAATAGTAATACAGTAATACGTTATTTTTCTGCAACAAATAGGTTTTTTCTCCTTACATTATTTTTCAACAAACAAGAACAATAATATATTATTTTTCTGGATAGATAGACCTGTTACTTCTTCAACAAACAAAAACATATAAGAATAATATTTGACTTTGCATCTGACATTTAGTTTTGATGATAATAATATATTATTTTTTAGAGAATAATTTTGTATCCTAATGATTTTGTCTAGTGTGTAGTTTTTGCTAACAGGTTCCGACTCTAATAGAATGACATGTGACATCATTGATTTTTGAAATTAACACATTATGACACTGGAGAGATACAAAGTACGTGTTACAAAAACATTGTCGAGTTCTGGAATGCTTCTAAACAACGATTCTGAAGAATGTTAGTCTAAATCTTCAGACTGTGACTCTGATGGAAGAGTTGCTGAGGACTTCTCAAGATCAGAGGTTTTGAAGACCAAGTTCTGAAGACTCTGAAGACAAGATTCTGTCGAACAAATTCTGAAGACAATGTTTTGAAGATTCAGTGCTTTCAAGTTCTGAAGACTCTGAAGACAAGGTTCTGTCGAACAAATTCTGAAGACAATGTTCTGAAGATTCAGCGCTTTCAAGTTCTGAGACTCTGAATACCAAGCTCTGAAGACTCTGAAGATAAGGTTCTGCTGAACAAGTTCTGAAGACAAGGTTCTGAAGATTGTCTTTCTGGTTTTGATCCTTCTAAACATTCTTCATCAACACACATTATGAAACCTCTGGAGATTAGAAGATAAAATCAAAAATATTTTACGTTAGTGAATAATACATAGTAAAAGATCAAATATTCCTTCTACTACTCTGATTTTATGGTGCAAGAATTGTAATATGGTATGATATTGTCTACCACTCTCATTGACTGTTAATCAAGAATACACATGGAATTTGGAATTCTCATTCTACCCACCAACGAATTTTTCTTTGACTTTATAAAGAAGACTTGGATGAATGAAAAAGAACTTTTGAAAAATCAATTTTTCACGTAAACTCTAAAACGTAAATATTTCATATTTGTGTAAAGAGTTGTAAAGCAAGAAACTTTTGTTCATATACTTGGTAGAAACACTTTTGTGTTCATCAGCGTATTTCAACTTGTATAAATATGCTTTCTTAGAAGCATCTTGTAAACACACATTTTGTATCTCAACTTTTGAGTTGATTGTTCCTTGAAAGACTAGGGTATAGTTAGAATTTCTCAAGAAGACATTGACGGGTAGTCTTTGTAGTTTGTAATCAGTTTGGTTATATTGGATTAAGTCCTTGCTCCTTAGATTAAGCAAAATCACATTGACGAGTGGACTGGATTAACTTCGTTAACAGTGAACCAAGATAAAAATAATTGTGTTCATTTATTTTTGTTCTTGTTTCTTCTCTAATCGTGTTGGATAGAAAAAATTTCAAATCTAGAAACTCAATTCAAACGTCTCATTTCTTGTGTTTTTACCTTCAGACAGTAATACATTATTTATATTTTTCTGATATATCACCAAATCCAATAAAAATAAAATATACAAATAAACTTCTTACCAATAAGTCACAATAGTACACAACCCTACCTTGTTACCTTCGTTTTGTTATGTCTTCGTAAACTTGTGGTGGACGGTGGTGCGACAAAAATAGCGTCCTTTCGTTTTTTTATTTTGACTGAGGCACAAAGTAAATAAAAGAACGAGGGAGAAGAGTGCGTCGTTTTGTTTTCGTTTTCGACGGAGGTCAGGGCGAACGAACGAGAAGAGTGACCGAGCGAAAGAAGGAGAATAACGTGTTTCCTTTTTTAAGGTTTCCCATAATTTATGTTTGGATTGCGTTTTTAACGCTTTGTGTTTTTTTTCTCTATATTTTTATGTTCAATGATAACAAAATGGCCCCCCAGAATTTAACACATATAACACATAGTGATGTAGCGCAACTTGCACATGTTAATGGTCGGGTATGTAAAAATGGTAAATAAAACATTTGGATTGTCAAGTGAAAGTGTGACCTAGGTTAGGTTTAGTAAGACTCATAATGAGCGTTAATTTTACTTGTGCTTGTGTAGGCAATGGAACTTTAAGATGCTTAGTATGTATAAAATGATTGATCACTCTAAATGTGTGGTTAGAGTATAGAAATTTAACCCTTTAAACGAAGCATTCATTATTGTGTTGGTTATTCTCCCTGCCATCATTGTTAGATTATGAAGATAGGGAAACTAGTCTCCCCCTAATAAAATGAATAATTATCTTGTGATATAGTGATCGTGTTAATTATTAGCCTAATATGTGATCTGACACGTCTATTTGAATATTGCGTAGGTTAATTTTAATTGATTGGAGAGGGTTAGACAATGTCACGTGCCTGTCGTGACATCGTCCCTTCATGCCTTTTGCTCTCCTATAGTATTTTTGGGTTGATTAAGACATGGACATATTACTTTTGAAACTAATAAAATTATATTGATTCAGTTATATCTTTAAATATGCCTATGAAAACTATAAACTACTTGTGTAATTAAAACACTTTAATAACTCAAGTCAAGAAAATTAGGAATTAATAAAACACCTTAATTGTAAATTTTTATACATACATTAAAAAAATTTGACAAAATTTAAATAGGAGTTAAATAATTATTCTCTTTATTCCACAATGAATAACTCAACCTACTAATTCATATATATTAAAAAAAAAATAAGAAAGAGAATAATAATTTTAATTAATTAAAAGATAAAATTGAAAAAAATTAATTGAAAATAAAAATGATTCACTATTTTATTTTAAATGAATAACTAATTGTGAGATAGAAAGAGTAAAGTCTAAGAAATGCCGTCAAAGTTTTTTTGATGTTATCAAGTTAGATCAATTCATCCAAACCAAAACCTTAGTCCATAGTTAAAAATGATGAAAATCATATATAGTGATGATATCAATACTCCAATAATCAAATCAATGCTTTTTCTTGTTCTTTTCAAATCACACTAACACTTTCATCTTCAAACAAAACAAAAATGTTACTCACTCATCACATTCATCTCCCTTTCACACATTCACTCTTCACCACCCCCTTCCGCCCCTTGCACCTCACCACTCCAATTCTCAACCTCAAACTCCCATCCACACCCCCCAGGTTTACTTCCTTCACCCTCCACGCCGACCGCCAACCCCAGACCTCTATCCCCAACCACGTCGTCGCCAATTCCATCTCCGATTCCGTCATCGACTCCTTCCTTTCGCTTCTCGAATTCCTGTGCCTTCTCTCGTCGCTCATCGTGTCGGCTAACGTCGCCGTGATTGCGCTGTGGAAGAAGGAGTTGTATGAAGCGATTGGGAACAGAGTTGCTCCGTTGAGTATGTTGTTGTTGGTGGTTGGTGTTTTGACCGGCGCGTTGATTAGGAGAAGGAGGGATGTTATGATCGGCGGGGTTCCGGTGTCGAAGGTGAGTTTGTTGCCGAGGATTCAGAAATTGGAAGGGGATTTGGCTAGGTCTGCCAATGTTATTAGGATTTTGTCTAGGCAGCTTGAGAAATTGGGGATGAGGTTTCAGCTCACTCGGAAGAATTTGAAGGAACCCATGTCTGAGGTAATTACTCTCTTTTCTTTAACTAGTACTAATTTTGTAATTTTAACACAATATTAGAGAGAGAGAGGGGGTTTGAGTAGCACTTGTAGTAGAAAATAGGGTAGAAACTAGGTTTAGGTGGTTTGGACATTCGCGTATGTGAATTCTGTAGTAAGGAGAGTAGAACAGATTGGATGATAGTCAAATCGTTAGAAGATCATTGAAAACTATAAGCGGCACTATTAAGAAATATATCGAGATTAATGAGTTGAATAGAAACATGTTTTTGATAGAACATTATGGAGTAGTTTGATTCATGTAGCTGACTCTACTTATAAGACTTGGTTATTGTTGTTGTTGATTTGTTTGTGTGTAAGATGAATTCTTGGGTCAAATTCAGAGCTTGCATTGAAATGAGTGAATGTTTGATTCAATTTTGAAAGAGAGAACGGTGATTCTAGAGTCATAAAGTTTACTATGACATGTTTAGTGTTCTTGAGGAGAATTGATTTTTTCTTCATAATAGATTTTAACTTTAAGCTAGAATTTTGAAGTCTTTTAACCCATAATATAATTTTAGCATGGAATTATTGTTAAATTCACAGTTTAAGAATATATATAAACATAAATCATTTTACTTTTAGTTAAAATCAATTTTCGTCACTGAAGAATCAAACACATATTCAATATAGTTTTAACCAATGAAAAAGGCCTATGGATACTGGATAGAACAGGACCGTATAAGTGATTTCATTCATAGAGCAATGTAAGGATCATAATTCATAGATGTATTGCACGATTGACAAATGACTAGTTCAAATAATCATAATATTGACAATCTTGTTTTTGAAAGTATAGTGTAAATGTGCTGTATGTTTGTGGGGTGTTATTAATGTATGCCAAATATTCTAGCAATCTTAGGTTGCTAACAAGATTAAGGTTCATGGCCAATTTTGGCAACCCTAATTTGTAAAATGCATTACAAAATTACCTAAACTACCTAGAGTTGCAACCTATAAGCTAAAAACACTAGAAAAAAATGAGAGAAGTCGTGAAAAAATAAATAGAAAACTCGGAACACAGGAACAAAAAGAAAAACAGGAATGAGGAGTCTGAGCAAGAGAACAAGGGATAGGAAATGAATTAACCTATATGAAAACTCATAACTAGAGTCTAGGGATATGTGAGAATACTGAAAAGAAGACGTGGGAAGAGAGTGAACAGAACATAGTACGTGAATAGAAAATGCGGGTTTTGGCTTGAAATGAAGTGCCAGGTCACTGATAAGAGCTTAGCCATGTAACCTCAAGGTATCGGTTCAAATCGCCTCAGGGACAGTTGTAAAATGGTCATTAGTGTCACTTGAGTTGATACAAATTTCCTCCCCTTCCCAAATTTTCTTAAAAGAAAAGATTTAAGAAAACTATGTGTGGGGGATTTTATGCTGAAACAGAGGAGAGAATGGTTGGTCAACAAGACTAGAGTTGAAATGATTGAATGGTCAAACAATGGTTTCAAACCCTATGAATGTTATTCTGATAAGAAAAACAGGGTAAGTTATTAAAGTGTCCCAAAAGAAGAAAACTTGGTAAACAAATGAACTGGGTACAAAGGGTTTTACCCCCATTCACGAGAGTAGCCACTACAACTGAGAAATGTGAATCTATGTTAAAATTGACACAATCCGATTGCAGGAGCATGAAGCAAAAACTCCCCGGGATGCAGATCATGTACTGTAATGTCCTCTGGGGATGCAGATCATGTACTGAAATGTCCTCTGGGGGTGTCGTATACTGTAATTCATATTTGTTGGTGAAAAATAAGATTTACACTAACTTAATACTACTATTTATTAGTGCTCCTTAACATTATTTTTGAGTGACTGATTGAAGGTTGATATACTGTATCAATTTCAATGTGAATTGAAAAAGACTGACAAAAATATTTAATTATTTGTTCATTTCTTGAAGACTGCTTCTCTCGCACAGAAGAATTCCAAGGCCGCAACAGTATTAGCCATGCAATCAGACTTGTTGGAGAAAGAGGTCGAGGAAATTCAGAAAGTTTTACTAGCAATGCAGGTAGTCATTTCTCCAATGTTACATAAACTCTGCACGACAGAGCACTCTTAAAAAATCGAATGGAACTAGTTTGTTACCGGGCTTTAAAGGTTAAAATTATTGTTTGGCTGTAGCATACTAGCATTCATGGTCTGCAAAACTTTAGAAATTTTAAAAATTCAGCAGTTTAACTTTCGGGTGCTTTAGAAATTTTATTTTGATTCATTTACAGTCTTACTCTCCCACACAACAATATGACATAATTTTATATTCTGAATTAAAATGTTTTGCAGACCATGAATCTAGTACTCTTGAACATTTTATTTTCTAAAATATTTGTTTTTTATCATGGAGTTTGACTTGTCTTGATGGTATTTGACCGTGTATGTAGGAACAACAGCAAAAACAACTTGATCTCATTCTTGCAATTGTGAAGCCAAGTAAGCCATGGGAAAGCAAGCAAATTAATGAGGTGAATCAGGAGATCCACCAAATTTGAAGCTTGGGTACAAATTCCAGAGTGACGAATCTTAGCGAGACATTCTGATTTATGACGTGTACACTGAATCATCCATCAACACACAGTCAAATTACCAATAATTTTATCGGCACAGAAATAATTATTACACGTTTTCTAAGAGTACCTCAAGGTTCCGGTGGATACTGGTGAGAAGAAATTAATCAATGAGTCAGTTCAATCTAAGGGGAGAATTTACTAAACTCTCTGAGTTGTGGTAAAGTTCGGGAACGTAATGTTGGTTCTTTGTGTTTGTGCATGTACTTTCATTTCAAGTTTACAAGGTGTTCATCATCAAAACTTGTCACAGTTCACATTTTTCCACTGAATATAATACATTGGTTGGAGCATACTTTGGTCCAGACTAGTAATTATTCTATTTGGGTGAAGTCGTGGTTATTTGTTTTGACACCCTTGACGGAAAGTGTACCTCAGATTGTTGTTTAGATAATAATAAGTAGGATCAAACCGTTTTTTTCAAAAATACCTTGGACCCAAACTGTTCTTCTGACCGTTATTTAAACTATTTCTGATATTCTCATTTGAATTTGGTTTGGGTATTTTTTAACTCTTTCGAAATTTTCATACGTTACATATTTATATTTCTAAATTAATGATGTTGCGCCAAGGTGGCAAAATTTACATATAACACTCACGCTTTACACTTATGGACATATTTGATCATTTTTAATCAAACATCAATATTCGGTGATGGTTAACTCGGATCGTGTGGGACTTATTCAATTGGGAAGGAGATTGAGATAAGGAGATCCACTTTTTCTGTATCTCTTTATCCTGATTGTAGAGGGACTTACTTCCCTGATCAAGAGAGTCGTGAACAAAGGAGACTTACATGGTATCATTCGGTGTCTCATGTATTTTTTTGCTGACGATTGTTTTCTGTTTTGCAGGGCAAATCTATCGGAAGTTAAACACCTAATGGAGATTTTGAAGGTGTATGAAGAGGCCTCTGGTCAAGAGATCAATATGTAAAAATCGGAGGTATTTTTCAACTGGAACATTAGTAAACAAGTTCAGGAGGATCTTGCTCATATTATGGAGGTGTGTCATGTGTTGGGGACGAGAACCAACATGGAGTTACCGTCAATGGTTGGGGGGAGTAAGAACATGACTTTTGCATTCAAAGACCGTATATGGAAAAGAATAAACTCTTGGGGGGAGGGGGGCGTCCGCTATTGAAAGCTGGCAAAGAGGTTATGATAAAATCAGTTCTTCAAGCTATTCCTGCATATGTTATGAGTGTGTTTATTCTACATATACCTTGGTGGAGGACATAGAGAAGATGTTTAATTCTTTTTGGTGGAGAAGTGGCAGTAATAATAGGGGATCAGATGGTTAGCCTAGGAACATCTAACATATCCTAAGAATGAGGGTGGCTTGGGTTTCTGGGATTTTAAAGCTTTCAATATGACTATGGTGGCGAAGCAGAGTTGGCGTATCATGACAAACACTGACACCTTAGTCTCCAAAGTTTTCAGAGCAAAATATTTTCCCAACTCTTCTTTTTTGGCAGCAGAGATAGGAAACAACCCAAGTTTTATCTAGAGAAGTCTTTGGAAAGCGAAGGAGGTGCTTACATTAAGTAGTAGATGGAGGATTGGGGATGAGAGTGGTATTTGAGTTATGCGAGATCCGTGGCTCAGAAGTGAAGAGGTAGTTGGTTAGAAGTGTAACACCCATCTAAATCCACATATATTTTGCATATAATTTACGAAAAATAATTCAAATAAAACTACCAACAAGGGTGTCACATCCTGTTCCGTAACACGGATTTTCAAAATCAATTATAACAAATACTTCATGAATAACAATAATGACATTTCAACTTTTTTTTAATAAGCAATTTGTACCTAGCAGGATTCGAACCTAAGACCTTGAGAGGAGCACATCTCAAAGACCCAAGCCTTCACCACTAGCCCACACACATGCACACGATATTTTAACTTCTCATGGAAAAATTCATAGTTTCAAAACACTATTATTAAGATACTTCGTATAAGTTTCATCATGCTCATCGTTTACAATTCATAAGTCAAATAACTTCAATACTATGAAAGGTAGTTCAAAATCTCAAAATAAAAGAAAGAACATAATCATCCAAACAAACGACCTCAACCTTGATGTTACATATTAGAGCAAGACCATTGTCATTAACAAAAATAAATAAAGCACTCTGAAGCTATCCTCTAAGCTTCAACAAACTATTCCTGATTACCTACAAGTTATTGTTGAAGAGGTAAAGCGGCAAGCAAAAAGTAAAGTATTATTTTATTGAGTGATATTCAGGTTATATCGTATCGTGTCCACAGAGATTAGTGTATTGAAATGTCATTCGACAAATCTCTCGTTAATGAGTTTAGGGGATATGGATTGAAAGGAAAGGTAAAAGGTATCAACAGAAAATAAATGTATAAAAAGGAAAGACATACTTATCTGGTTTGAATGTACTCTACTCGTCACAAACTTAAACTTATCGATCAGTTATACTCAACCTATAATATTCATCAATGTCAACATGTATCAACCGTAACGCCCATTATATCTTCTTTGCGGCGATCTCTCAACCAACTTCAATAACACAGAAAACAAACGTATTGCTCGCGTTGACGATCTCTCAGAGGAGCACAAATAACACAGAGGCATTAAGCTCCAAAATCCAAAGTGAATGTCAGCTCTAAATCTATCTCTAGAATCCATTAACTAACAGATAATCATCCTAGATAAGAATCCAAGCAGTATATGTCTATAGCAACTCAAATCTCTAGCACAGAGTAAAAATCAAGGATAACAATCAACAAAGATTTGTAAAGCAAGTTTTATACAACGTCATGGGAGACAAATATACATGAGTTCAAATAAAATATATATAAAACCCAACAAAAGAGAAATACATAAAGAGGAAAAGAGATAAATCAAAAATTTTCTGGTGTGTCAGCGTCAGTCGATGAGAAATCCACCTCCAATCATTCATAAGAAAGGCCCTAGTGTTGTTTTCTAAGCTAATCAATAAAAAATAAGGTTGATGGAATTTGAGAACAAAAACACCCCAAAAACCATAAACTAAAAATGAACTAAATGAAGATAAAACAAATCTCAACAGATCGCGTTTAGCGGGCTCACTGTGCTAAGCGGGCTGCGCGATATTTACATATTAAATCGTCTAAACCGGGCTAAGCACGCTATCCGCGCTAAGTGGACTCAAAAACTATGTTTCTGCCATAACAATAACAACATCCCGTGCTAAGCGACACCAGCGCGCTCGCCTAGACAGAACTACTCAAAATGGACTTTTATTCCATAAACGTGCATCCGGAGCCGTGCCTTCGACACCTTATTCCTCAATGCTCCAAATGTAAAAAAAAAATCTAAAAAAAACATTAAAACTATCAAACGTTACACTATGTACATAAAAACATAATTATTCGCAAAGCAAATGTATTTACACAAAAGTTGGATTTATTCAACGATTATTAACAATAAAAAATCGATAAGTACAACAAAAAGTATATACAAAAATAGCTACAATTTACATTATCAAACTCTCCCCAACTTGAATTTGTTTGTCCTCAAACAAGGCCAAACAACTCAAAGAATCAAAAGTAATCAACCAAAGAATCATGAATCAACAAGTTTGAAAAACGAAAACAAATGTATGGTTCAAACAAAAACGCACACACAAGGTAAATACTTACCTAAATTCTACGATGACAACATGTAAACAAAACGAATTCTAAGTACAAAAATTATACTAAACATTCTAAAATAAAACAAGCTCAACCATGTATCACACCTAGTAAAACTTCATCGGTAGATGAAGAAGACACAAAAGTGAGGAATTTTGACACTCATTCAACAATCTTGCAAACAAAAGATTAAGTTATGCATTCATCCAAAAACTTATATTGAAAATATAAAGGAAAAAATCACAAGGGCTTTTCAAGGTTGTAATGTGGCTTGGTTAATAAACAAGGGATAATTCCTAAAGCTAATCGAAACAAAAAATTTCCTAAACCTAAAGGAGTGATCAATTCACCAAAGAATCAAGCAACACAATTTCAATCAAACTTCTCTCAAATCTAAAATTGTCAAACCAAAACACAATACTTATTAACACAATATTATTCCATACTCTTTTTCTTTTTCAAAGCTTTTTCTTTCTTCTTTTTTTTTTCTATTTTTCATTTTGTTGTCTTTTCTAACCTCATAGAAATCAAAACATAAGCACATACACATTTCTCTCCCTAACTTGAATTCAACCATCATCATAATATGAATACTCCCTACTTTCTAAGGCAAGGAAAAAATTCAAACTATAAATCATAGTTGAGGGTTCAATAAAACAAAGAATCAATGCCCATTCAAAAATGAAAATCAAACACTCATAGACAAGCATTAGGTTCAAAAACAACATGGACATAGACAAAAAGGCTCAAAAGGAGTTAACAAAATTTCACACACTCACAAAGTGAATTGACTATTTGGTAGGTAGTTGTGCTCAAAATGAAACAAAATATCTTGATCATGTTCATGCATTAATATAATCAACACAACTAAAATATTAAACATGATGAAATCCAGTTAAAACAAGAATTGTGGCCTCCAGCATATATGAACAATAGAAAACTTCCTCACAATTGGGGTAAAAAGGGAACTAAAGTGATTAAATGAAAAGCAAGTAATGCAAAAAGAATGAATGATATGATAATTATACAAATGATAAGTTTCCTAAACATGTTATGCTATAGAAAGCGTTAAACGAGTACCTGGCGTGTACCAACTTTAAAACTATCATTACCATATATTTGCAAGTTGAATCAATCAAAATCGGAATATCGCCTCAAAATTCTTCAAGGTACTGGACCAAAATTGGAGTCCAAACAATAACAAAAGAATTAGAAAAATAATACTATTGTTATTTACTAATACAAAGCCTTGGTGAAAGTGGGAAAAGGGAGGGCCAA